AAAAAAAAAAAAAAAAAAAAAAAAAAAAAAATTAGATACATCAAGAAAAAAGCCAGGAGGAAGGAAATGGTATTGTTCTCAGCAGCACAGAACAGTATCTTCTGTTGCTTCCTGTCTGTACTGTGGCCGGCTAGGGGAGGGCAAACAAATGACCATGCTGAAACGATTTTATTTTACACATTGAACTTCAACTGTGACGAACACCAGATATTTAAGTGATAAACAGAATGCTTATTTGATATTGTTCCAGACGTTAGGACTACTCTATGCTGCGGACCTTGGGAATCAAGATTCTAACAAACCACAAGCATCTTTCATTTGATGTCAAAGATGGAAGGCAATATTCCCAGTCTGGAAAAGCATTCCTAATCCATGATAAAAAGGAAGCCTAGAGAATCAGGAGTGAGGGCAGTGCTAAGGCCCTCACTGCTGGCTAAGAGCCATCTCACTAGTCTCTGCCAGCCCATGGTCTCCTTCATGCTCTTCCCCTCTCAGAGGCCACCACTACACACAGGGTTCTGTTTTCACTTGACTTAGCATGTCCTGGCCAGGCAGGCAGCATTCGGGTGGCAGGGATTACAGCTCTCAGAGCAGTAGAGGATCTCTTCCTGCTCTATGCTCACGTGTTCGATGTTGGTTCCTGATCCTTCCTGGACTGTGAGCTGTTGGGGGTCCAGGCTACAAGGTCTTTTGTTTGTAGTTTCCCTGCTTCCATCGAGAGAGATGCTCAGTAAGTGTTGATTCAATGAAGGAAAAGGGACGACTGGTTCTCTCAGTTTCAGGACGCCTTCTGCCTTGGTGCTGCAGAGAGCCTCATTATGTCCTGAAAAAGCAGCCTGTCGGCTAAATGCCATTCCTCCATCCGTACTGATCACCCCACCCCTCATAAGGTGTATGGGTGGAATGTGATGTGGCAAAGGGTGGAAATTCGAGTTTACTTTCGGAGAGCTGGCTGTCTGCTATCAGGAAATTATTCACATATATAATTGTGGCTTGGCATCCACAGTACCTGTGTGTGTGTGTGTGTGTGTGTGTGTGTGTGTGTGTGTGTGTGTGAGTCAGAGAGGTAGGGGAGAGGGAAAAAGAGGTGGAGAGGGAGAACTGAGAGGGTACACCCACATGGATACGAACTTACTTTTGCTAGACAGTATCTGAAACTGTATTTCCTTCAGGTATGAACACAGGCTGTTTGTTGTATTTAGGAGCAGCTGTGACTATGTCAAGGACAGAGGTCAAGTATTTTCCCATCACTGCAGTTGCTGCAGATCTTAGCACAGTTGACACTGCCATGTTCTATTTGGATTCCCTCCTAGACCTACTGACTCACACATACGCTAATGTACCAGAATGCAGCATTACTTTGATCGCTGATACACAATGCTGTAATTTCATGCATTGAAAAACATTACTAGAATACTTGTCTAGCATGCCTAAGGGCCTGGGTTAAATCCTTAACACTGAAAAACAACAAACACTCCAAACAGAAAAATCATAGTCTGGGTTGGGGATGTTGGTCAGTTGGTAGAGTGCTTGCTGAGCATGCACAAAGCTCTGTTTTTTGATCCCCAGAGCTGTTCGAACTAGAGCATGGTGGTGGATGCCTGTAACCCTAGCATCACTTCAAGGTCATTGTTGGCTAGAGTTCAAAGTTGGCCTGGGGCTACACGAAACACTGTATACATAAAAAATTAAAACCAAAGCCTTATAATGAAATAAAGTCCATGGTATAAAAAAGGTGAAGTGGTCTAGGCATTGTTAAAATGAAATGAGGATAAAGTATGAGAATTTGATTCCAGAGAAACATCTTGCCCTCTCCTTTAGTGTCAAGAATAGAGATCACTTTAATCCCAGCACTCAGGAGGCAGAGGCAGACAAACTGTGAGATCAAGGCCAGTCTACATGAGTTCCAGAACTGTTGGGCTATGAGGAGACCCTCTCTCAAAACCAAAAACTCCCCCCCACAAAAAAATCAGAGAGAGAAAGAGTGAAAGAGAGACAGAGACAGACAGACAAAGAGGTATCACAGGGCCTAGAGATGGTTCATCAGTTAGGAGAGTTTGCTACTCTTCCACAGGACCTGAGTTTGGCTCCAAGCACCCATGTTGGGCAGCTCACAACTGCCTGTAGTTCCAGCTCCAGGGGATCTGACACCCTCTTCTGGCCTCTGAGGGTACACACACACAAGGCAAATGTTACATACACACACACAAAACACATTTTTAAAAGAAAAAAAAGAGATCATAGGGTTTTTGTGTAACAACCCCCATTCTAAAATGGCAAACTTAAAACTTGAAAGAGTACTCTTCCATGTGGAAATGGCTGAATGGAAAAGCCACCTACCTAAAAGTTTCAAAGGGACTCTGTAGGTTCAAGCAGAATAAATGCATCTTCTGTCTACTCAAAAACTTCCAATTTAAGTGCTACAGACCTTCATTTAAGAGCTTCCTGAAGGAGGCAGATGCAAATGTAAATTCCTTGCAGTGTCCCCTGCAGAGATATCCACTAGAACAGGGTCTCGGTTACCAAGATACAAAGGACATTTATAAGTTTATGGGCTTCTTTCAGGGTGAATGGATCCGACAAACAGGAGAATCCATTACTTCTCTGGTTTACTGCTTCTAGTTCCAACAGAAAAATGGTCCTTACAATGATTCTCTGAGGATACCATACAGTTTTGTAGTGGGAATGGGGACATAAAGAGGACACACTGTGGCTCTAGAAACCACAGCAAGTAGCAGCAGCATGGATACCAACCTGTCTGAAGAGTGGAGTCCCAGCTTAAGAGTGGGGAGGGGAATCTTGGAAAAGCAGAGACCTTGGACAGCTGAGGCAACCTTACTGTGGAGGTAAAGGTCAACAAAGGGAGCAGCACACAGACCATCATCTAATCTCTGGTCAGGACACTCCTGAGCCATACCTGCCCAGAAGCCAGAAGGTACAGGAGCCCACTGCTGATCTCCATGCAGGCCAGGCTCAGGAGGCAGGAAGTCAAGTGAAGCTGAGCAGGTAAGAGACAGCCAGCACATCTGGCAAATCCCTGCACAGAACTCATCAGACTTTTTTGGTGGTCCAAAGATGACAGGACTGGACTTTATTCATGGCTGTGCCTGGTAAGATTCTGACAAGTGGTGGGAGCTCAGTATTACCGAATCAAAGAACACAGATCTGAAATGTTGCTGTACTACAGTAAAAGCAAGTTATCAGCTATACACTTGGGAACTATACTTCCAGGCAGGGTGAACACTTAAAATGTTACTCAAACACTCGAGAATGATTCATCAGTAAATCCTGTTCTCTAGGTCAGACATCAGAGCTTTATAAATAGTCAATCATAGTTTTGAATGCTGTTTTTGGAGTCTGTATTTGTGAAACTGTCAAAACTTCCTGCAGTGCTCTTACGGCCATGTGCTGCGCAGCAAAATCCTGACTTGCCCAGTACACACATCTTAACTGGGGTTGAACGGAGACTTGTTGATCCCGATCTCGTACTGCAAGTGATGGGCCCTTTTGCTCCATTTAATGTCAGTGTTTTTTAATTTTGTGCTTTTTCTTGGTGATTTAACCGGTTTTAAAGTGATGGGCACTAAAGGCAGTGTTGAAATGTTGTCCCACGTTCCCTAAGGGTGAAAGTGCAGTGATGTGACTTCTGGAGCAAGTATGTGCTAGAAAAGCTTCATTTAGGCATGAGCTCAGTGTTAAGGAGTCAACAACATATATGAAAATGTCTTTAAAACACAGACAGCTAAAGAAAGTTGACTTATGGGCTGATTAAATGCTGTGAACAGAGGTGTACAGAAACCTAGCCCTGTATTTCTCTTAGAAGCGATAGTTCAGTGTTTGCTAATCCAGTGTTCCAGAGATGTCACAGAACATACCTGTACATACTGTTTTCCAACTCCTAAAAGTTTGAAAATAGAAAACTCAAATCTGCAAAAGATATTTCTCTAGTCAGCAGTTAATTGATATTGATGGTATAAAACCAGAAAGAGGGAGAAAACACCAAAATCCATCATCACTGCATAATTTCAATTTAATATATTAAAATTTATTACTTTCTGAATAGTATTCATTGAAACTAATTAACATTCTCTAGAAGGCCTTATAATTTAAATATTAAAGAATTCAGTGGGAGGGAGAAGGAAAAGCACCCTATTTAGTATGTTGACTTTAAGAACATTCACATATGTAGTATTCTTACCATCTGGACTCAGCCCCTGGTTAATTCAATCCTGCTTAGTTGGCAATGTATACACACTCCACAGTAAATCCATTTCTCAAAAGCTTTGTGCTTTACTTACAGCAGTATGACAACCCTTTTTTTAAAAAAAATTACCACTCTTTTGGCTATTGTAAACAATTCTCCATGCTCTGACACAAGGATATTTATGTTAGCCAACAAAGACAGCCATGTATTCTTTTGAAGACTATTAACAGAGGAAGCATTTTGATTTTTATATTTGTTTAAAGTGTTCAACCTTGAAGAGAACAACAGAAACTAAGCTGAAGTTTCTAACTCACATTCTAACTACAATAAGAATGATATTTCCCTCCAGGGATCATCAAATATTTATAAATTTGTACTAACATTCTGTAAGAACTCACACATATCAGTAAGAAGCAGACTTTGTAGTCTGCTGTGCTCCACATTTTTTTAGACTAGACACAGTACATATAAAGAACTTTCAGATAAATATCGAGTGCCTGGGTACCATAGTAGTAAAGATTAAAAAAAAAAAATCAGTTTTACTTTTCTAAAACATTTTGGTACCATTTTCATAGCCCCAAATATGTATTCATGTTACTGGTGATCAAGAAGCTCAGGAGCTATAATTCCACTTTTCCTTACTGCAAAAATGAAGTGGCAGAGCTCTGCAATGTGAGGGGAAAATACCCAGGCACTGAAATCAATGAACATTCGCTAAGAGAAAACTCTTAAAATGACTGCAGTCTTGAGAGTGCTGCATAACATCAAACAGCCACATTTCTGTCCACTACAGGGAACCATAAAGAAGCAATCAAGCCACGTTTAATAAGATGTGTCAATATACAGAAAATGCATTTTATCACAATTAGAGGTCATCTTTAGTCAACTACTCAGATGGGAAACAGCCTAAAGAAAAAAAGACTGCCATCTTCTACCACCTATTCAACTACAAAGCAAAAATGCTTATTGTGACTGGAGAGGAAAATCACATAATATTCACTATCAGTTTGTAAGAGCCTAACTCCAAGGAATGCTTATAAATAAACAAGATTTTTCTAAGATTTTTAACTAAGGTGTATAAAATATAAAATCAAATGGTAAAACTAGTTTGAAGCAATTAGAGTCCGATGGTTTTCTATGTTTTCTTTTATATCCTTTATTTTAAATTGGTATTTTAGAACAGCAAATTGTCTTTCACAGCAGTGCCTCCTGGTCTGATAACACAGTCCCCATTCTAATGTAAAGATTTAAGATAAATCAAAATGAACAGTAAGGCATACAAACAGCTACTTTAGGTCTGCTCTTACTTAAAGGATCAGTTTTACTCGTATTCAAATACATGGAATGTTGGCACAAAACCGAAGCTGCTGCAGAAAGCCCACAATGTCTGTGGGCTACTGAAACCTCCATCTCTAAAAAAATACCCTTACATGGTCTTCATTTTACAAATTTAACTGTTGAGAAATGTCTAAATAATAAGTAACAATTAAAATAAAATGTTTTATTTGTAAATTATGTACAGAATACACTTTGTTATGATAAGGAGATGGGGAAAAAGGAAGAGCCCTCACCTTCCAATCAATGCTCTTCACGTTCTGATGGAGAGGACCACCTTTCTCTGAATTGACTGTACAATTCAGTGTGGATTTCCTAAGTTGGAAAAAGAGAATTTGTAGCTAAATTAAAAGTGTTGCTGCACTGTTATAAGTTGGTTTGTTTCCACAAAATGCTCTTGATCCCTGCTACCTCAAAAATTTTAAAAGGAATTTCCTAGTATAATTTTATAAAGAAAAACAAAAACATAGCTATCAAGAACAATTTCATCCTAAAGAAACTGACATGGCTATGTAACTATGCATAATCTGAAATGCTGTGGTTTCTTTAGTTGTTTTGATTAGTCTAACAGTAAAAAGCCATATAACTATCAAAAATGCCCTTAATCTAAATGTCTTTTTGGACAATGAATCTTTGATGACTATCAAAACGAGACCTACTTAACTGTAAAATTATCAAATGGATAAAACTTATTCATGGCTTTAGACTGTACCAGTAACAGTACCAATATTCTATAAAACAAAGGGCTGACTGTAACTAGATGTCAAATACATTTCAGAAAACAGATTTAAAGAACTCTACAAATGCCATGTGTACATAATGATCAGTCAACATAGAAAATCCAACCTCTTGCACTTAATTCAGTTCCCAAATTAGTCAGATTACAATTTTTCATGTGCAGATTTAGGCCTTTCTCCGTCTCTGTCATCTTCCTCCTCATCACAATCCCCATCAGTCTGCTGTTCCAGTTCCTCTCTTGTGATCATTTCAAAGTCATTCCCATTTCCACTACTGTGCTGGGACCGGTCATCTTCCCTCCTGTCACTGTCTGTGTCTGAATGCCGTTCTCCACCCGAGGCTTCTGCTCCAGGATTTCCTGGTCCTGCTTTTCCCTCCTCATCTTCCTTTTTCTCACTATCTGACTTTTCCTCACTGTCGGACTTCTGCTGCTTTTTGGTTTCAGATTTCTCGTCTTTCTTTAAGTCTGTTTTCGGTCCTTTGTATTCATGTGTGTACAGAGGCCTGAAGGAGTCAATGAAGCCCACATCGGCAGTCAGGTTTGGCAAGAACCAAAAGTGGTGCCTTCCTCCAGTTATCAGCCAAATGATGAGGAACAGAATGCAACGAGCTGTGGAGAAAAGTTTCTCTGCTGAGTAATTTAAGCACTGGATCAACTACAGGGGAAATCTGTTAATAAGAACTGGGAAAGCATTTAGCTTTAGCTGCATATTTTATACACCTTAAACACAAATATTTAAATCTGACTAGCCTAGCAGTTATGACAGTATTCTAAGAGCAGAATCTTCTGTTCTGAACTCAGAAGCACAAATGCTCTAAAATCACTTCGTTTTTTTCATCTGGCTGCTGTTTCATAGATTTACTTAGGATTTATGCATTTTGTGATGTTATACTTCAATAAACATAGCAGTCAGCTGGAAGTGTAAGCATTCATGAGATCATGGTGTAAGGAAGGAAGAAAATGTAAGGGACGAAGGGTATTTTAAGGACAAAGCTGGTGAAAATACAAAATGCAGGCTGCACCATGATGTCCTAGGCCCTATATACTTTTGTCTTCCTCTATTAAAGACTAAAATTGGGGCTGGAGAGACGACTCAGTTCTTAAGAGCACCGGCTGCTCTTGCAGAGGACCCAGGTTCAATTATCAGCACCCACATGGTGGCTAACAACCATCAGTAACTTCAGTTCCAGGGGATCTGACACCCTCTTCTGACCTCCGTGGGCACTTGGGTACACTTCCATACATGCAGGCAATAGATTCATATACATAAAATTAAAAAAGACTAAAACCATATTTAACATACATTACGGTATAAATACAAATATAATGTTGTACAGATATACTATTACATCAAAATATATATATTATTTCTGATTTTAAACTAAATGAAAACAATTCTGTGGATCCTTATGCATACTGTGGATCTAACTCTGTCTAAAACATAGCTTAGTCTTGGAAAAAGAATCCACACATTAGCAAGTTTCTATATTTTTGTTCTATTAATTAGGTAATTAGGTCATTTTTGTTTTTATTTAAGTACCTACTGCCATAGTATTAAGAAACAATATAAGCCAGGCATGGTAGAACATTCCTGTAATCCTAGCACTTTAGAGGCTGAGGTGAGAGGATCATGAATTCAAGACCAGCATGGGGTACATAGGGGTCCTGCCTCAAAAACTTCAAAGAAATAAAATCCAGAGAAACTCCAGAAATCAACACAATGCTAACAAAAGCAATACTGCTTAAACACATGGTTTATGAAGCTATCCGCCTCTTTTTGGTGGTGCTGGAGATTGAGCCCAGCACTTCCTCAAGGCTAGGCAATGTGCTACCATTGAGCTATTATATTCAACTTTTAAATTTTATTTCAAAACAGGCCAAGTTGTTCAGGCAGGCCTTTGGCTTGCTATATAATACATGCTGGTCTCAAAATGGATGAGGTTTGCCATCCTCCTATGTCAGCCTTTCAAGTAGCTGAAATCACAGGTGCTCATAACCATGACCAGCTGAGGTTACTCTTAGAATACAACAAAACTCAGTATTTCAGACAGTCTTCTATTAATTTACCAATTATGTGACGGTTAGTGATTTTTTAAGTCATAATGATTATATGAATGTTCTAGGCTAACCAATTATGACAAATTTTTTGTTTATTCTGTTTTCTTTATAACTATATTATCATTGATTGAAAAGAAAGCTTTAAAAAGTTCATCCATGCTTCTTTCATTATTGTGCTTTGGCTAAATCAAAGGAAACAGTTTTATATCTGTCTTACTTTATAAAACAATACTTGTAAGTAAACTAACTTATAAAATAGTGTATTCATTTTCACAAGAACATACTAAAAGAATACTGCAGATTAGAATCATTTGTGACACAAACAAAACAGGTAAATATATTTTGGTGTTTGGAGGGAGGGGTTGGTATTTTGAAACAGGGTCTTATTACGTAGCCCTGGCTAGCCTGGAACTCATTATATAAACCAGGCTGGCCTGGAACTCACAGAGATCCACCTGCCTGTCTCTGGAATGCTGGGATTAAAGACATGTACTACTATGCTTGGATAGGCAAATACATTTAAAATTATGATTTGCAAATAAACTCCACTGATAAAAGAGCTAATGAACAACTTCTGAGGAGGCAGCACATTCTTTTCTACATTTTTTTTTAATAGAGTTGAAAAGACAAATGAATCTTTTAGCAAATCCAAGAAAAACGAATACAGAAATTCGTACCACACGTAAACTGGGCACATCAGATTTCTAAATTCTACAGTTTTTCTCTATATGACATTTGATTATCAGGAGCAAAAAAAAGGGAAGAATCACAGGAAAACTGTGACATGTACTCTCCTACTGTTCTTATAGTAAAAGTGACACATTTTAGAAAAATGCCCCAAGTCTTACTTTAAGTAACCATATATATTCAAAAACACCAAAAATAAGTCTGAACAATTCTACATCACAGGATTTGTAGGTGGGTTACAGAGCAAAACTATCTGAAAGAATATTTTGGGAGCTGGGATGTAGTTTAGTTGGTGGGTGCTTGCCCAACATGAATAATACCCTGGATTGGATCCCCAGCACCACATAAAACTGGGTATTGGGGTGTATGCCTGTAATCCCAACAACTGGAATATGGAGGCAAGAGGATCAGAAGTTCAAGATCATTCTTGGCCAGCCTCAGTAAGTTACCTGAGACTCTGTCTCAAAAAAAGGGAATATTTGGAGTTGCAGGTTTCTAATGTTGGGTTTGTTTTTACTTTATCTGTAATAAATATTTAAATACATAGGAACCTTGAAGAATTATTTTAAAAATTTAAGAAATAAAATTTAAATCTAATACCAATACTGGTTTAATTAAAATAAAACAACGAGACTATGTGGGCTGCATGTGGGTGCTGGAAACTGAAATCAGGGTCTCTACAAGAGCAAGTGCTCTTAACCACTAAGCCATCTCTTCAGTCCCCAATTTTAAATAATACTTCTGTCTGTCCCCGATTAACACATTGTTTACAGAAAAACACAGACAAGTAGAAATAAGAACATGAAAGTCTGTCACCACCATTCTTACGTGGTGCATTTCCTTTTAGTCAAATTCTCCCTGGAGTTTGAATATTAACATTTCAAAAGAAAATATTCCTAATTAATAGGAAAAATGTCTCATTATCTTAATTTACTGTTTACTAGTGATGAGTATTTTCTTTTTTTGATTCACTTTTATTTTGTGTGTGTGAGTGTACTGCCTGCATGTATGTAAGTGCACCCATATTGTGCAATGCCCACAGAGGTCAGAAGAGGGTGTCAGATTCCCTGGAACTGGAGTTATGGACAGTTGTTAGCTGCCATGTGGGTGCTGGGGATTGAACCAGGTCCTCTGTAAGAGCAGTCACTGTTCTTAACTGCTGAGCTATCTCTCCAGCCCCATGACAAGCACTTTCATATAGTGTTAATCACTTGTGTTTCTTTTTAAACCCTCTTCTAAAGGATGAAAGGGCATTCATGTCTTCTGCTCTATTTAACATTGAGGTCCTCTATGAGTCAATAAAAATTAAATCTTTTGTCTGTTGTTTTTTGTTCTTAATTTTGTTTGATGTGAAAAGGACTGTTAAAATTCTTCTATGATCTAAATTTACTAACCCTTTTTATTCTTATATTGCTTTTTAGGTATGAAAGATTCCAATAGTTCAGAATGTTAAAAAACATTTAATATGTTTTCCTATTTTGTTTTCAAGTCATTTAGTTCTTTAATGTATCTAGAATTTATGTTGGGACCCGAGTGAAAATTAGTGCTTTTCCAAGTGAAAAATAAATCGTTTAGAACCACTTATCAAATACATGAACTGAATTGTACTATTAAATCCAAGTTATATTTACCTTATGTCAAATAAAAAATATGCATCTAATAAATGATTCACTACTGCAAAAACTTATTATGGCTTTTTTTTTTTTTTTTTTGGTCTTTTTGAGACAGGGTCTCCCTGTAGCCTCAGCTGGCCTGGAACTCACTATGTAGACCAGGCTGGCCTTGAACTCACAGAGATCCACCTGCCTCTACCTTCCGAGTACTGGGATTAAAGGCATGTGCCACCACACCTGGCTATGGCTAATTTTTAAAGCACACTTACATGCAGATTAAAATATAACAATGTATTGTAAATTTTCAAAATAAAGATGAGGGTAAATTTCAAATGTCTCATCATAAAAATTGATGGCTGAGCCAAGTAACAGACACATGTACATATTTAATCTTCTTCTCTGCACAGATTAAACATCAAACTGCACCCCATAATGCACACAATTATGATTATTAATCAAGTATAATAATAATAATACAAAATAAAAATCTGAAAAGATACTATCTCAGATCAGAGTCAATGTAATCTGGTCTGAATCCGAGATATGACCTAGAAAGGAGGATCACATACTTCTTATCTACATTAATTTTTCTATCAGCTTCATATTACACACCAGATTACAGTCTAACTGCCCAACTCCTACCTTCCACCAAGATCAGCATTACTACCAGGACTCACCAATAGCAAGGAGAAGAATGCTGGCTACAAAGCAGCCTGCGCCCACACTGAGGTAATAAACCCCTACTCTCATTTCTGCTGGCCAGAGGGGGAAGAGGGTGGCTGCTATTACTGCAATCACTGCAACAAGAAATGACAGGTTATACAGGTAGCTTTTACAGTAAGAATTTAAATGGCCTGGTTGCAAAAACAGTGAATACATTTTTAGGGGGAAAAATTCTGATGAGCACTCACTTTGTCATTTGTGTAAGAATGATCAATTAGTAGAAATTTCACATAATTCAACCTAGTGTTTTATCCTGTTCCTAAATCGGAAGAGTATTTTTCTTGTCTACATTACATTTAATTATGAAAAAAAATACTATTTAGAAATTAAAAACTATTCCTTAAACCATCAACTACTGCCATTTTCAAGCTGTATCTGTATTATTCTTTGATTATTAGGATCTGTCTGTTGAGTAGGGGAGCTTGAAGAAAGAAAAGAACTCCCCTGGCCCCAAATTCCAAAGCCCCTACCCTGGGGGATTCTGATTCTGAGCTGGACCTTTCATACCCACAGACTTAAAAATCTCACTAGGTAATCCTAATAGATATTTGAGGTTTTTTTTTTTTTTTTTTTTTCTTTTTGGGCAGTTAGAAAAGCTGTCTAGAGAAACTGAAGTCGAGTGGGGCCCCATGAAAAAATTTTAAGGAATGAGAAGCTTGATTATTAGGTCTTTAGCATAAGAACAAATTCAAATTCTATCATGTAGGTAACCCTTTCAAAGCTAAGTTACCTTATATTTAATAGGTACCTACTTCTATTTCTTAAAAGTTAGAAAGATGAATTGAGACAAGTGTAAAGTATTTACAACAAAGCACTTATCACACTGTAAGTAATCAACAGCATTAGCTACTTGGGTTGAACTGAGTTTCAATTCATATCATAAATTGAATTTTTTTTTTTTTTGTCTTTTTGAGACAGGGTCTCTTTGTAGTCCCAGCTGACCTGAACTCACTATGTAGACCAGGCTGGCCTGGGACTAAAGGCGTGTGCCACCATGCCTAGCATAAAAGAGTTATTCTAAATGGGATCTTATGATATCCCAGTAACTAATCAAATATATAACTAGTGTCCACTGTTTTTCTATTTGTCAAATTAGTCTTTCCCACTCATCCCTGCCCAGAATGTGAGAGAAATGAACATGCAATTTTAATACCCCTATAAAAAAAAAAAAATCCACATCCAAAGGTATAGTAAGTCTTCACCAATTTTTGCTCCAGAGGTTAAGCACTATTAAGATTATCCCATATTCCCAGAAACTGCTTATATAAAAGTAAAATTAACTACAAAGATGTTTTTCTAAATAAATGAACTTATGTAATTCTCATGCTTTTGTGATTTTTTTCATTTAGTCTGTTCTAGACATTGTTCCTCCTCCCATGCATCCTAACTCCTTAAAAGTGCATGGTATTCTATACCGTAACTTATCTCACCCTTCTACTGAAGAACTTGAGCTGGTTTTCAGTTTTAAACTGTAACAGACAATAATAATGCAATTCTACTTGTACATTTGTAGGACTATGATTACATAACAGAATGAGTTCTAGGCTAGGGATGCAGCTCAATGGTGAAGTGCTGGGCTAGCAAGTGTAAGACCCTGGGTTTGAAACCAGGCACTGCAACAAACAAAGGAAAAACATTAACAATGAAAACTCATAATGAATTTGGTTTAAATGGAAATTAGGCCAAAAGACACAGGCATTTAAAATTTTAATACGCTTCCCTTTTTTTTGCAGACAGGGTCTCACTATGTATCCCTGGCTGGCCTGGAACTTGCCATGTACAACAGGCTGGCCTTCAACTCACAAAGATCCATCAGTCTCTGCTTCCTGAGTGCTGGGATAAAGTGTGCATCACCACTCCCAGACTTAGATTTTCTTTAAATGTAGTATGGGGTATGTGGGTTAAAATAGGTAACACATTTAAGGGTATACACTTTGTGCTACTTCTAATTCCCAGAAGAATGTGTACATGCATCTAAAATTTGAAAGCTAATGCAAAACTGCCTGCCATAAAAGTAAAAAATGGGTATACCATCATTGTTGGAGTGTTTTCTCTATGACTTTGTTAGCTTTGCAATCCTAATCTCTGCTACTCTACTTCGTGCTTATTATGAGCACGATTAAGTATTATTCATGCTGATCACTGTGTTTTTGCATCTAAGAGCTACCTACCTTTATTATTTTGTACCAGTTGTTAACTCCTTAAAAATCTTTAATTGTTGCAAATACTTTTATAAACTTTGGCTTATCCTTTCTCTTCTAACTTTATTTAAAGTACGTTTTTGAAAGCAGTATTTGTTTTGGGCTAAGTTTAAAGATATTCTTTGTGATACTGCATTTTTGTCCTCTCAATTTTAGATTACACTGTTAGAACTACTTATATCCTCCTACTTACCAAGAATTAATCCCATGACAAATGTTTTAATGTGAACTGGGTCATAGATCCACACATAAACCTAGAAGAATCAAGAAACCTCAGTGCTTAAAAGTTCTAAGGTCACATTAGTAAGTAAAGTTTACTTCTATATTTTAGTTCTAAGGCATTCCTCAATGACCTAACACATTGAGGACCACTTTCTAAGTAAGGTAAACAAACTGCCAAGACCTTTCCTTCAGTGTTAGTGGTTCTTTTACCATTCATTCAGTTAGAAGATGATTTTAAGAAAACTAAATTCTGTAATGTACATAAATAAATTTGCATGTATTTACATGCATTTGCTTGTGTATACGTTTAAATCATTGTTTAGTCAACCTAAAGACCAACTACTTTAACCTTTTTGTCCCTAATATAATGCTGAAGTGGCTGGGCTAAGGACATAGCTGGAAAGACTCTAGCCAGGTCTTATCGCAGACCAGAGGCACTCAACTCTACCTCTCCTCCACTACTGAGAGTACATAAAGAACGACTGATTATTAAAGATCATGCATAGTTGAACACTAGGAAAGAGCCTATGACTCTGCAATAATTTCACTGCTCACCCCTCCGTGGAGTATTTGTAGTCCTAAGTAAGAAACCACTGCTCCAAAGTTAGTTTACTTTTAGCCAGCTATTAAGTTTATAAATAGAACATTATCATTGCGGATTAGAACTATTCTCAATTATAATCCATGAGATTCTTAGTATTATTTCTCAGTTTCTGTAAATAACAGTATTCTTCCACTTCCTACTTCTATTTTGAGTAGTACCCTTTATTGTTTTTGATTTACTTATAATGGTTAACATTTAGGGTTCTTCAACTTCTATGTTACTGTCCATATTTCTCCTTAGACTCACAAATATTAGTTTTGCAAGTCACCATTTAAAGAAAAACAAACAAACCCATGCATTAAAAAAAGACATTCCACAACTTTAAAAGTCTGCAGTACATGGTGCTTCCTATAGGGGGGAAAATCTCACCTCTTCAGGATGGCAGCACTCAAGCTTCTGTTTAGCCTGCTTCCTTCCCAAATAGACCTACAAAACCTTTCTGGTACTTGGGGCAATCTGCCAGCCAGTTCTGAAGGCTCAAGTCAAGTTTCTGGGTCTCCAGACCCTCCTTACCCTCCCTGATTAAAGTAAACATACCTAATTGGTGTTCTCACACCATTAATGCCTACTACAATGTTTAAGTGCCCATGTTTTTAAGTGCGCATGTTTTTAACGTAGACTATAAAAGCTTCCCTGGAAGGGAGCGTCACTGTATTTACTATGTCAATCTAAGCACCTCTAAGAATGTCTGGTACAGACTGATGCTCAACGGAAGGTGTATGTGCTCTCCTTTTAGGAAACACCTTTGCTCTTCTAGTATAGTATTATTAGCGAAGTTTTAAAATTATCAGAATTATCTGAAGCTATTTTATATAGATACCTTCTACCTGAAGACTTCCACTCCATGGACTTTTCAAGGGTATGTCTGGAAAGAGCCTAGAGCACACATTTAAAAAAAATATTTCCCGAATTTCAAACATAAAGCCCTAGGAATCACTGTTTTATACATACGTCATCATTTGTACAGGTAGATCAAGAAAGAAAATGCCTTGAAATCTACAACAGTCCAACAGCCAGGATACAGCTACTATTTTTGTATTTGTTAACTGATTACATTATGCAATCTTCATCAAGGCCATCATCATGCAAATCATATTATGAAACATATAATAAAAACTATTTCCTTGAACAAATCATTAGTAACTGAAAATTTCATGTCCCTAAAGAGGTTATGTCTGATGATACACTGTAGGCGAGGCGAAGATCAGTAGGTGTCCCCCTAAACCATTCTGCTCCTTTTCTTTGATAAGAGAAACTCTGCATTTTAGCTGGGCAAATTAAGGCCTCAGTATAAAAAGTACATTTTTCTAAAACTTTGTTTCGGGTAAGTATGACCACCTGACTAGTGAATCCAAGTTTTGAGCAAATCTCCAGCTTCCTAGCTGCAGTAAGACAGTCTGCTGAAGACACACTCTCATCTCCTCCTCTCTTCTATGGAGATACGGGGCTGGCAGTCATTTGCGCCAGGAGGCAAGTAAGAAGTGCAGCATAGGAGAAAAGTAAGGAGGAGTCTGGGCCCACCAGGGAGCTTCTGCCTGCGCTGATTAGCCCTGGATTATACTAATGAAAAGAAATAAGCAGCTATTTGCACTCTGCCACTGCGATGTCAGGTCTCCTGTCACTCACAGACAGACAAATCTGCTTCTTTTTATAAAATGAGATTTTGAAAAATTGGTTTGAAATAGTAATTTTTATGTACTTACATTTATGATTAGACTTTCCTAAATTCTTTTAGTGAGGGCAAGAAATATATTTCTAAGATGTTCTATGAAAAAACTGCATTTCTAATCATAATCAAATTTAATACTAATCTAATCTCACCTCATTTCCATCCAGAAAAATTTGATCATCATGTGGCTCAAGTTTGAACTTTTTTTTAGTTTCCTTCTTTTTGGGAGTTCCTGGAGTTTCCTCCTATGAAAACACAGGGTGAGAAGAACTAGCACATGACAGCAAAAGCAATGTGCCATTTGTGAAGGCAACATGTTCCACAATTTTCAACACTAACTAAAATGCTCAACCACAGTATTCACAAGTAATTCTGATTCAAGTGGCTGTTAATGAAAACTTTATGATCTTAGACCAATAAAAGTCATGTGTACACAATGACTAAAAAAATATTTTATTTGGGGGCTGAGAGATGGCCCAGTGGTTAAGGGTACTTGTTGGTCTTGTAGAAGATCCGGGTTTGGTTTCCAGCACCCACATGGCAGCCAACAACCATCCTTAATTCCAGTTCCAGGGGACCCAAAACCCTTTTCTGGCCTCTTCCAGCACCAGGCACATACTTACATACATGTGGGCCAAAATACTCATCCACACAAAATAAACATTAAAAATTTTTTATTTCACTGGGTGTGCTGGCACACCCCTTTAATCCCAGCACTCGGGAGGCAGAGATAGGCAGATCTCTTTGAGTTCAAAGCCAGCCTGGTCTATATAGTGAGTTCCAGGCCAGATGGGGCTACAGGGAGACCCTGTCTCAAAATGACCGAAAAATAAAAGTTAAAAACAACTTTTAAAAATTTCATTCATTTAGTTGAACTTACCTTTTTGGAATCTTCCTTCTCACCATCTTTTTTTTTCTCTTTTTCCTTTTTTGACTTTTCTTCCTTTATATTTTCTTTCTTGCTCTTTTTGTCTTCTTCTTTCCCACTTTCAGATTTTCCTTTATCTTTTTCTTTCTTTATGTCTTTCTCATACTTCATTTTCATGACTTTCAGTGCCCGGTGAAAGAACTGTTTTTTTAAAAGCCTTGGGGGAGAACAGGCCTAATATTACAATTCCCTTCAATTACAAAGATACAGGCTTTTTTTTTCCAAAGGCAAACATATCAAGACCTGAATAAAATGAGCAAAGGAAGATGTAAACTGAAAACTCATAAGAGAAATTACAATTAGTAAGCCTACAGAAAAATTAGTCAAACTCCACTAAAGCAAAAAGCCCAATAGATAATTAGACTATGTAAACGTTGTCTCAGAGATATTTGGTATAATTTTCACTTTTAACTAATTTGGGTATAAGAGGTTATTGGTGTAAGATTTTTCCATATAAAACTTCTCTCTAGGTACACTGAAAGAATTAAGACTCAGCTTCACTTAAAGTCAAATATCAACTGTAAGAATAGAGGTAACACAGAGGAAACAGTTTGAGAACTGTCAACAGATAACATGTGCTCATGACTGACAGATCACATCATGTCTTATTGGCTGTGTTTCTAGAGATTATTTTTCTGCATGTACTTCACTACTCAGCCTATTGCTGTAATGAAATATCTTCAAGTAAGCCATGGAGAATGCTGTACACTCAGATGACATTTCTGCAGTCTGCTAAGTAACCATTCTCACAAGATCAATCTAAAACATGTTCATCATCTTAGACAAAACACTATGTATTTCCAGAGTCAGTAGTTTCTAAAGACAATTATTCTTCCTTTTTAGTATAAAAAAAAAAAATTCTCAGGGCTGGAGAGATGGCTCAGCAGTTAAGAGCACTGAATGCTCTTGCAGAGGACCCAGGTTCGATTCCCAGCACCCACATGGCAGCTATGAACCATACTTAACTCCAGTTCCAGGGGAATCCGAAGCCACCCTTCTGACCTCCATGGCATTGCATGATACGGGTGCACTCACATACATGCAGGCAATACACTCATACACATTAAAAAAAAAAAAAAATCTCACCTTAGGGCCTTCACAAAAGCTGTTCGCATGACATGGAATGTTCTTTCTCCAAAAAGGCATGTCTTTTGGCTTATTTTCTTACTTCAAGTTTTCCCTCAACTACAACCTAACCTGCTTAAAAAAACATAAGCCGACTTCATCCTCATTCCTGTGACCTTATGGATAAGACTTATCTTCTAACTTAGGATGTGATTTATTAGATGTTTGCTTCTTCCCTAGACTGTAACTACTTAAAACCTCATTTTATTTATGAGTTCAGAAGCTTAGCTGATCTCAAATTGAGTCAATCTTGTTGACTGTTTCCTTCTAACCTTCTAATCCTACCCAAGAAACGATGCAGTTCTTGCCCTTGTTACTTCTAAGCCACTTTCTCAAATCTCATGCTCCAGTTTGAAGAGTTCCTGATTTTATTCTTCATCCTTGGCTTGGTACTGTATTATACAATGACCTAACGCAACCTGAAAGCCAGGTCTCACTACTACCATCTGTCCTTACTGGTGACTAGTCACCCTTCTACTTAGACCTCCTTGCTGCCCAATCCAGTCTATTTTACCACTTGTTTATTATTTTTTTCCTTTCTGCCTAGATGACCTGTTCTTTCTGATCACTATGTTGTGGTCTCTGGGGCATCTACATTTTTCACTTGTCTGACTGGGCTTCCATGTACTGCCCAATTAATTCCAGCTCATGAGCATCCCACATAGTTAAGGTCAAGATTTCTTTATTTGACCTATTCTACTTGTTCAGAAGTAGATATTTAGCACATAACTGTGCAACTGTTCCAACTGTTCCCCATCCAAACATTACTATTAATATCTGCTCTGCAATATATATAAACAAAAATTTGAAACGAGACTTTAATGATTACTACTTAAATACAAGGGAGAACTTAATAGCAGTGGGCCATTTGAATATGAAGGGGAGTGTTATATTTTTACTTTATTTCTGAATGTCTTGAAAAAAATTTACTGAAAAATATATATCCTAATTTTGTTTGTACAACTAACATGGTTTCCCTATTTTCTATAAGGAACACTTATTACCACTCAATGTAAAAACAAAAATACACGATTTATTAATTGAAAAAAAAAACCCAATACTTTTTTTTTTAAAGACATGATTTTAAATATTCCTATCTTCTTATCTATTTATAAATGTCAGAGTTCTCGGTCAGACTTGAAAACATTTCTAAACAAGTCCTTGGCAATCTCTAAATTACTCTTGGTGACCTTGATAACCCTTTGACCAAACTTGAGGTCAGAGGGGCATGTAAAAAAGTCACCTTAAACCAATATTTTATACTAGTTCAGATTACACATGTCCATATATTAAAACCAATTTTTTAACTCTGAAGCACTATTACTAGTAATTTAGACTTTCTTCTACATCACTATTCTGTATCTTCAGTTTGGACTTTAGTACAAAAAAATAATCTTTCCCCGGATGAGTACACACAGAAAGATACAGAACCAAGCTGTTTGCTTTAGTTGTCCTTCCTGCACAGCTGCCCCACATCCAAGAAAACAATGTGATTAACTCCCAAACAAATTAGGTGTTTTAAGCAATTTAACATTTACGTACATTCAAATACCATCTTTGCCACTTAACTAGATAGATATTGGGCAAGTTACTTAATTTTCATTTATTTCTAAAATGAAGTATCTATCATAAAAGATTTTTACGATTAAATGAGACGCACATAAGCATACACGTACTCAATAAATGTTAGCTATCATTGCTACAACAAAATCTTCAATTGCTAGTTATGGAAACAGATTTTCACAAATTATTGCATCATCATTCTGGCTTGTAGTTAGTAGAATCACTGACTTTTTCCTTGTTGAGTCTTTAGAGAATGTCTCCTTCAGTTAATCCTATGCTTAGAAAAGTGAAATTGACTTATTGGCTTTGAATATGGGATATGGGATAAAACACCAGCACAAAGCGTTCTGGCACTTTCATAGACCTACTCACACTGCCCTATTTCAGTACGTTCTGTGCCTCTTCCGGAGAATAAATGCCCTTTCTTTTCTTTTTTGTTGGGTAATCACTTATTCATGTTTCAAAATTTGATTAAAATATTTCCTCTGTGAACTCATTCTCAAAAGTTTTCCCAATTATTGCTGTTAGCTATAATTTTCTAACAGACTAGAATATGTATTCTGAGGTAGGGACCAAGTTACAGTAACCATAGTTTTCCTGGGCCTAGTAATGTAAGTATTTGATAAATAAGACTGAATAGCTAATAAACAGTTTTAAAACAGCTTATAAAAAAGTTTTAAATTGTTTGTCTATTTTTCCTGATATCTTAATTATTTTTTCAGATCTAATAAACATTTATTGACTGTCAGATGTGTTAGGAATTTTCATTTTGTAGCAATGGTTAGTTTTAAATAAGTGCAAACATTGTGCTGTTTGTAGATTTATAATAAAGTACAAGAAGTCCTAAAATTGCTTTCTGATTTAGCTTGCAAGCGATTTTTTTTTCTTGGTCTTTTTGAGACAGGGTCTCCCTGTAGCCCTAGCTGGCCAGGATGGCCTTGAACTCACAGAGATCTGCCTCTGCTTCCCAAGTGCAGGGATTAAAGGGGTGTGCCACCATGCCCAGCTTGCAGGTGATTTTTAAAAACCATATGCAAGAATTCTTAAATAGTTAAGAAATGCCAAACTGGATGACACTAACTTGTTAAATGAGAACTGCAGCTACAAAGGTTAACATGGGCTGGAGGACCTGAGGAATACAACATAGTACAGCAACCTGAGGGATGTGCTTATAATACTGAGGTAGTAGGACAGAGAAAGGAGGACCATTCAGGGAATGGGGTAGGTCAGCATCACAGGAAGACCAGGAGAGGCGTGTGCAAACATGTGTCATGATGAAGTCTTTTTTTTTGAAGCAGGGTCTCCCTGTAGCCCCAGCTGTCCTGGAACTCACTATGTAGACCATGACAGCCTTGAACTCAGAGATCCGCCTGCCTCTGCCTCCCAAGTGCTGGGACTACAGGTGTGCGCCACCACGCCCGGCTCACGATGAGGTTTTTATGGTTACATCAGAAGTGGCTGAGATTATCTTAGAGTCCTTTATTTTAGTGCAGAAAAGGCACAAACAACCTAACATGAATAACACACAATACAAAGTGTGTGTGTCTTTAAGACAGTCTCTGTACCCAGGTCATTTAAACTTTTTATATAATAAGATATCAAACTCCCTAAAGGCTACAAGACAAGGACTATCTCCTTAAGAGATCTGGTCTCACAGATTTAATATCCTAAATAATAGTTTGAACGGGTGATAGGTCTTAGTCCATTAAGTGCATCATGATTGTGCTGGAGGAGACAGTGATGGTGCGATGGTGAAGAGTGTGGACCATGGAACCTGACTACTGCATATACAACTTTAGACCTCACTAACTGGATGACTTTGGACAAAGAGTTCTTAACGTCTCTAAGTCCCCAATTCTGTACTTTTTTTTGGGGGGGGGGGTCTTTTGGAGACAGGGTCTCCCTATAGTCCCAGCTGGCCTGAAACTCACTGTATAGACTAGGCTGGCCTGGAATTCACAGAGATCAACATGCCTCTGCCCCAGGAGTGCTGGGACTAAAGGTGTGCGCCACCACGCCCGGCTACAAAAACTATCTTAAAACAGGGAAGTTTGTATTTTTGAATTAATTCTCATTAGACAAATTATTTAAAGGACAGTAAATATCAACTGCATCATTGTCAACTCATTCCCATCCCAATAATGAAATGTTGTATTTCTGAAATGTTCATTAGTCATCTCTAGTGGCTTAGCAACTAAAGTTAAAAAAAAAACACCTGACAATTATTTAACTTTACTGCTTAAAAACACAGGTTGTGAAATGGTTTTTAAGAAGATTCTCAAATGGCTAAAACTTTTTTTTTCCTTTTTGAGATATGGTCAAGTAGCCCATGTTGGCCTCCAACTCACTATATAGCCAAGAATAACCTTGAACTCTTTATCCTCCTGCTTCTCAAGTGCTGGATTATAGGAATGTGCTACCATGCCTGGTAGATGGCTGATACTTAAACATGGTTATCATCAAATGCTATATGTACCTCCCAAACAAACAAAATCTAAAATTTCAAATACTTAGATTTTAAATTTGGTACTAAAAACCAAAATATAGTTAATACAGATTAATAAACATGACTTTTAAGTATTAAGTACTTCAAGTATTAGGTACTTAAGGAAAAACTGGAAAGTAGGAGAATGATTTGGTCTTTTAGGTATGTAAGTTACTACCAAAAGTTTCTTTGCAAAGAAAAGTGCCTGTTATGAAAAACAGGTATACGTTATCAAACTCTCTGTATTTCATCTAGAAATCTTCAAGAACTGACTAGGCAGATGGTACAGCTGCTTTGATTTCACAAGGAATACTACTCTAGCAACCACTAAAAGCAGGAAAGGGAGCCTGTCTTATGGTCCAGGACAAAGCCACTGAAAACAGGAGAGAAGAGCTAAAAGTCATTCCTATAAAAGAAGGGGAAGACTCCCTGGTCATTTTCTATACAGAAGAGTTTTCTCACTGTAGGCATGGTTTATGATTCTTACTCTTGATTCTTCATTTGGTAGTCCTGGCAAATACACAAAAGTAAAAGAATAAAAACAGTAGGGCATGGTGGTACACAGCTTCAATCCCAGCACTCAGAATGCAGAGGCAGGTGGATCTCTGTGAGATCAAGGCCAGCTCAGTCTATATAGTGAGTTCCAGGCCAGCCAGGGCTACATAGTGAGACCCTATCTCAAAAATACTCTAAAACAAACTAACAAATAAATAAATATGAATTATATACAGTAAAAATTCCAGAGATACTGACAAAAATCTAGGTTACATGTGAAAACTGTTTAATATTACATTTAACAATAAAAACAGTTAAAGAGCTTCAGAACTAGAGAGAACTTTACAGTATTAAATGTTATCCTTCACCAAGAAACACTACCTGCTGCAGTAGTCAACCACGGACTCCCTGGTTGTAAATAAAGCTTCCTCTCCCTTCTTAGCCTTGGCCCATTTTGAATCCAAAAGGCAATCCACTGCTTTTGAAGCTAAAGAAGAAATTTGTTATTTTAAATTTAGTATATGTGAACATTTATGTGTAGTTAAATAGTATGTCATAAACCTCAACATTCTGACAACAGAAAGCCAAGAGTTCAATAGAAAATGAAGTCTAATGACCACCATTAATGGTCCTTAAGACCTCAACTTGTGAAATATATTAATAAGCATCTTCCAAAGCAATACTGGAAAATGAATGGTATTTGGAAATACTAATCAAAGAAAGATAAACTAATGGGGAAATATTTTCAACAATGAAAAACCCCTGAAAATATTTGTATATAACTATCAATCATCAAACAATCACAATCAAATATAACCTAACACCTTCTTCTTCTCTTAACAGTAATGAAAATTCCCATCGAGTTTTGTAACCCACTGAGGAATCACTCTGAACAATCTACTACTGTCACTAGAAGCAGCTAAATATATTAGATTTAGAGATTAGCACATTTATTTTACTAAACTTCAAACAACTATCATAATCATTAATAACCCTAAAAAGAAGTCAATTCTGTATAATGGCAACTCAATTTTGACTGATAAGACAGGAAAACACAAGTACCATTTATAAACTACTGGGCTGCATTATCAATATCAGCTTCTAATGAGACTATGGATAATGCAGTGAAACAAAGCACCTAGTTATTTCCAAGTAGTCAAACTATCTGAAAGAAAGGTAGTATTTACAACGCTGAAAATAAATCCTATTTAAAAAATTCCCAACACATATTATTAGAAAGTACTCTATCTTTTAAACTTTCAATATTAAAAGAAAAGGCAACTCAACTGCTATCACCCAGCCTCAATAATCACACATGAAAGCACTTTTACAACTTCTACACAGCCTAAATTAACATAACTTCATAGGATATGAACAAAAATGACTTTACAGATATAATCCTACCAATGAAATAGTCAACCCGATGTCCCATCATGTTGGTGGATTTTGTTGGACAGTTGAATCGAAGATACTTGGCTACTGCCTTCTCCTCTTTGGATGGCTCACCAACTTCCTGTGGTATAAGAATATTAATTTAGTGTGGTCATTTACTTGAGAAATCCACGCACTGAAAGGATAATTTACAGATCTTCTCCATAAGTTTTTCAGGTAACATATAGGCCTTGTTTTCAGGTCGTCTCTGAAGCAGACCTGATAAAACATATAAAAGACAAAATGGACACTCTGGATACCACCAGTATGGAGACTATTTTGTGCAAGTTTACCTTCATTCTGTGTATCTTCTTTTAGTACTCACAAAGCAGTAATTTTTGATAAGGTGTTGCCAATAGTAACTACCTAATGTCAAAGTAAGTAGAAACAGGTACCATAAATAAATAGTATTAACAACCAGCAAAGATATGCACCCTAATCAAAGGACAACAAACTAAAGCTTCTCAAATTAATCAAAGGTAGCTGCCTCAGGCGGCCATAAGAACTGAGATGCTGAGGACTGGTATTTATTCCCTTCCTTTTCCCCTCTGAGGGAAGATATCAAATACTGTCTGGGACTTTTCCCACTTGGCCTTCTCTTTCTTTAGACAGAGTGGCAACAGACAGAAATGCAGAAGGGGTATTAATGGGTTAACGGTAGTACAGAAACAAAGAATAGTTCTAGGAAGCCCACTTTATCCTTTCCTGTTTTCCTTTCTTCTATATCTATTCCCAAATTTTCTATGACAGACTATTACAACCAGCTGTGGTTATCTGTGGCAAAAAAAATTAAAAGTTCAAACCACTCAATCTGGATTATTAAAAAAAAAATTTGTGAAAACTGTATTTTAAGTAAAAATATATACCAAAGAAAAATGGAATCTAAAAATGCAAATTCACACGTGGCACACGCCTTTAATCTAGCTCTGGGGAGGCAGGGACAGGAGGATCTCTGTGAGATAGAGACCAGCCTGGTACTTCCAGGGGGCTGGGACTAGGGAGACCCTGTCAAAACAAAACAAAACTGCAAATTCAAAATTTTATGCTCCAAGTGCACTAACAACTACAAGGTGTGGCTACAAAACACACTTCCTAAAGTAATAAAAGGTGAAAATGCCCCACTAAAACTTTGAAACCATGCTGTATTAATATATTCATCTAAACATGTTAAATAATAGCATTTAATTACATTTATGTAATATATTACACTTCTAGGAGCTTCCTCTACTGGTAATATTCTGTATGTATAAAGCTGAGAAGGAACAAAGCTGAAAATGACAATATAAAAAGTTCATAGACACCTATTTTATAATAAGTATATATGCTCAATTTTTTTCCTCATTTAAAACATTTGTTGCTAATTTAAAGGTTTATCCAATTAACTATTAGCATGTTCCCAGGATGGGCTTGACTTAAAGTTGAGGTTTATCCTATACTCTTTGGATGCCACAACTGGTACCAAACATTTATAAGGGATGATTCTCGCACTTTGTTACAGAACTGCCGGAAGCAGCAACTACTACCTTCCCAAAGGAGTGGTACATAAAAACATTTTATAAGTCTACAAAGTAGACATGAAATGATCACTGTACACTGAAAAGGTCTCTTAGAGCCTGGCTTTGAAGGACACTGAACAAGTTCTGAGTAAACTGAATGAACAGCATAAACATGGTGGCTGAGAATGAGCAACAACTTGGCTCTACTAGGGCTCAGTTTAAAGCATGTAGAGAGTCTTCAAGGCAAGCCAAGAAACTTTAACTTTCCCCACTAAGTAGCAGAACGATCTCCAGTTTAATAGAACAGAATCAGAAAAGTGATTTAAATATTATTTTTGTGGTTGTGGGCAAGACATATTGGGCAAAAAAAAAAAAAAAACATGTAAGGCAGGGAAGCTAGTTTGAAGACTATTCTAAGAGTTAAGTAAATGTGACATGATACTGGTCTAAGCAGGAAGGAAATGCACAGACTTGAAACACTTCAAATGCAGAGTAGATAGAATTCAATAGTAATGTGTAAATGAAATTAGAAGATGAAATGAGGTAGATGTCAGATTTCCATTTTAATCTACTGAAAGTCTATTTAATTCTCAAGAACACAAAGGAAGTTTGTGAGGAGAGCAATTCTGAAGAATGATCATATCTATTTTGGCATGGTATGTCAATACAGTAATGCTCAATTAAACCATTTACTGATCACAGACAAATGTACTAATTTCCTGGCTGCTGATGAAGGCATCATATGTAAAATCTGGCTATCAAGATATACAATAACTGAAAAGTTGATTCCGTATTATGTAATAAGAAGTCAAGCCAGGTGTGGTGGCACACGCCTGTAGTCCCAGCACTTGGGAGGCAGAGGCAGGCGGATCTCTATGAGTTCAAGGCCAGCCTGGTCTACATAGTGAGTTCCAAGGCAGATGGAGCTACAGGGAGACCCTGCTTCAAAAAAATGACCCCCCCCCCAAAAAAGAAGTCCAATACTACTATTATATATTTGCAAAAATTTTAAACTCTCATTTTAACAATTAACCTCAAGTTAATCAACTTTTCTCCAATTCCATATCCTCCTTGGTAAAGATACTATTAAATAACAACAGACAGAAAGACTCAGAAAATGTGACATTTGAGTAATCTTTTCCAACAAGACACAGAATTACTTGTCTGTTGGTACTTTCCTAAAGAATCACTGAAAGTGAAAACGATACAATTTGTGCTATCTCCTGGGGTGTTAGAACCAGAAAGACTGCTGTAGGAAAGTAGCATCAGAAATGGCTACAGAGTTGGTGACACAGGCCTGCATGACTGTTGCCTTGCTGTGGCCCAAACAAAGCTTAAAGCAGTCCTACCTTTCTGTTTATAAATTAGACTATAGCATAACATTGTCCCCCTTTGTTCCCTTAAAAAAATTTTTTTTTATTATTTTTATTTTATGTGTATGAGTGTATTGCCTGCATGTATGTGAGTGCACCTGTGTCGTGCAATGCCGTGGAGGTCATAAGAGGGCTTCGGATTCCCCTGGAACTGGAGTTAAGGATGGTTCGTAGCCAAGATGTGGGTGCTGGGAATTGAACCCAGGTCCTCTGCAAGAACCGTCAGTGTTCTTAACCACTGAACTATGTCTCCAGCCTCTCTCTGTTCCCTTTTAATGTGAATAGAATACTTTCCTAACTTCTGTGTTAGACTTCTAACAAGAAGGCCGTGTGAGAATATTAGTACCAATTAATAAATAAAAACCAGCTCACCAACTCTCAAACAAATGAAAAAAAAATTTAACTTTAGAAATGAGCACAACTGTTTTGGAATAAGGCACCAAGAGCCAACAAATCTAGGCTGGACCAATTTTTTCTTTGCATCCAAATACTAATCCACTGGTTGCTGTTAATCATAGTCCAACATTACTTAAAAGGAATGTTTAGTTAGACTACTTTCATAAAAAGGTTTTTAGGAGTGGCTAGAGAGATGGCTCAGCAATTAAGAGCATATATTGTTCTTCCAGAGGACCCACATTCGGTTCCCAGCATTTACACATGCACATATCCATACACCAACACACATATATACACAATTAAAAATAAAATCAATCTTAAAAGTGTTTTATTTGGGGGAGGGGTGTCTTTGTGAGACAAAGTCTCCTTGTAGCCCCAGTTGGTCTGGAACTCACTATGTAGACCAGGCTGGCCTTGAATGCAGAGATCTGTCTGCCTCTGCCTCCCAAGTGCTGGGATTAAAGGCATGAGCCACCACACCCTGCCAAATATACTTTAGAATATGTCAGTTCTCAAATAGTGTAATGAAATAAAGTCATCATTTCTACTATTTTAGCCAATAGTTAAGTCTTTTTGAAAAAAAAAAAAAAGATTCAGAGAAAGCCATGGGCTTAATCTTACAGAACTTCTAATAATTTAAAACTATAATTTTCATTGTAGAGGTCTTTGATGTCTTTAAACTGTGATTTTATTTATTTATTTATTTATTTATTTAATTTATTTGAGACAGGGTCTCATTGTATTCCAGTTGGCCTGGAATTTTCAATGTAGACCAGGCTGTCCTGAATCTCACAGAGGTCAACCTGCCTCCCAAGTGCTGGGATTAATGGTCTGCACTACCATACCTGACATAAATTCTTAATTTTTAGGGATACTTAAAAAGTAGCATAAAATATTTGTGTAAATGCAAACAATAGGTTAATAGGAAAAAATCTGAAAGCTACAGCATTTACTTAGAGTAACACAGTCTGCAGAATGACTAGCAGTCTCTCCTTAGTACCTGTAATTCACTTCTATATTTTCTGCGCAACAGGCTTCCTAGGTAACTGCAAAGTCCTCCATTAAACATGTGTATGTGTGTGTGTCTCCCTGCAGATGTGTGCAAGTGTGTGTTTCAGATTTAGGATTAGATTCCTGTGTTCTCTTTCCTTTAGAAGGTTCTGGTGAAATCAATCCTCCAGTCTAAGGTTTAATAGTCCCAAACTTACTTTCTTTTCTTTCCTGAAATTAGGCACATAAGCCTATGATATCTCAGGGTTTTACTGCCAGGGAGACAGATGGGTGCAACAAAAATAACTGATGATGGAGGTTATACAAGTTCTAAGATACAGGAGTCATTTGAATGTCCCAAAACTAAACCAGATATTGTACATATAAGCAGATTATTATAGAGAATCATCCTTTTATAGCAAGAATAAGGCACACTAAATATTATAAAATTTATATAAAGAATTTGGGGGGGGCTAGACAGATGGCTCAGTGGTTAAGAGTACATACTGCTCTTGCAGGGAACCCAAGTTCAGTTCCCAGCACTCACACCAGGCAGCCCACAACTGCCTGCAACTCCAGTTCCAGAGGACCTGATGCCCTCTGCAGGCACCTGCAACTAATGTGCACATATCCCCACACAAATAACTATACAACCCCCCCCACACACACGGACTGGAGAGATGGCCCAGGGATTAAGAGTACTGAGTGCTTGCAGAGGATCCAGGTTCAGTTCCCAGCATCCACATGGAGCCCATAACTGAAGTTCCAAGGGGACCCGATGCCCTCTTCTGGCCTCCGTGGGCACTGCAAGCACATGGTGCACTTACATACACTCATACACGTTAAATAAAAGAACCAATAAAATTTAAAAAAATATATAAAAATAGAATTTGGAATTAAAGTATTTCAGAACAACTTGTTTTTTTTAGTCAATGTTAAGGTGTAAAAAATGTTCAAGATGACTGGTCTAAACCTAGTTTTACTAACTTAAATAATTCTAGTTCAAGATATATAATCTCACTAGACCTCAATCTGTCACTAAAAGGAGCGTCTAGATCAGAAGTCAACTGTAATAGTCCATTCTCTCCTGCCACCACTGATTATGTAATCAAACTCAAGTCATTAGGAAGCACCTCTTCCCTCTGAGCTATCTTGTCAGTCCAGACTGAATTTATGGCAAAGGATTACAAACAAATGTAGCTCACTGACCAGTAATTTGAGTCCAAGGAAGAAATGTGATAATGACTGCCTTGCTTCCAACTCTGATTAAACACCACATTCTAAAATTATGTGCTCTGGAAAAAGTAAATGAATTGACTGTTTTTTTAAAAAAACTCAACTAGCTGGGCGTGGTGCCTTTGATACGAGCACTTGGGAGGCAGAGGCAGGCGGATCTCTGTGAGTTCAAGGCCAGCCTGATCTACACAGCAAATTCCAGGACAGCTGGGGCTATAGAGAGACCTTGAATAGTTTTATTTTATTTGGAGGAGGCTGGAGAGAAGGCTCCATGAACAAGAATGAAAACTGCTCTTCCAGAGGACCTGAGTTCAGATTCCAGCACCCACATCAGGCAGCTCACAACTGCCTGTAGGTTTCAACTCCAGGGGATTTGACACCCTTTTCTGGTCTCTGCCAGGACCTGTACTCCCAGCTATACACCCACACACAGACACACATATACATAATTATAAAATAAATCTTTAAAAGAAATAGGTACAGTTCATATAACTTACAGTCTATGGTTTATTTACTGAAAAGATAATTGTTAATCATTCTTTAACTTACTAAATCCACATAAATTTACCTGATTCCTTTATTCTGGTGGAGGACAAGGAAGAGGTTATGTGTCAAGCATTTTCAATAACTTAGTCATTAACTGACCTGTTGTTTTCATAGCAATTCTATATCCCTCAGAGGGCTTTTTTTCTTCCTTCCTTTTTTCTTTTTTAAAGGTAAACAACCCTTACAAATACAGAAGTTGAGGTAAAAAATAACTCAAGTTACTGCTGATTGGTGGAGCTGGGGTGCTAACAGGTATAGGCTAACTCATAGCCCTTGAACACAATAGTATCTTTTTGTTTGATGTAAGTCACAACTGAAATATGAGCAGCTATTTAAAAAGTACAGTATGCCACTTATACAATACTAAACTGTAAAAGTGTACATTAAACAGTAAAAATACACAAAACTGTACTGCCAAGGGTAAACATGGGGGTATAGGAAATACCAATTTTATCAATCTCAATACAAATTTTAATACAACACTGACATCTACCCAGGTCAAATCACAGGCTAGAAACAACATAAAGAGAAACTTGTCTTTACACTCTGGTTTTAAGAGCTTTGTGCAGTTGGAATCTACCTCTAGTTCCCTTCTGTACCCGGTTCACAATTACTCTGCTATGCTTGCCATGTGGAAAATGTACTGACCACTGGCATCTTTCCCACAGGACGAGAGTTTCAACTTTAACGCATATCGTTCAAAACACCCGTGAGCCAATACATCGATTTAACCTTTAAAGAAGACGGAAGAAACGCCATCCTAGGTGAGGGACGTAAAGTCAAGGATGAGGGCACCAACTTGTGACTGACAGAGTCACAATTTACACATTAACTTCGGATGCCTTTGGGTTTCTGAGATTCACACCGACGTTCAACAAACTTAACTGTGCAGAGAACGTGAATCTACAGTGGGGAAAGCTGCGGGGAAGGGATGCACGAGTGGCACGCTCACGGAATGAGGGAGGATACTGGGCAGGACCGGAGGCCGTTAGGCTCCGGGCTGCACCGACCAGCTGTGTTTGTTTACATCGTGCCGCCAGGAACGAGGCCAGCAAGTTTCCAGCCCACTGTTGGGGTGACACAACACTGCGGGGAAGGAGGGCGGCCGCCGCGGAGCATCAAGGGGAGGAGCCACAGGCCCCGGCGGGCTCGGGCCGCACAAAGGGCCGGCAGCGGCGCTCGGGCACCCAGCTCCGGTTACCCGGCTCGGGCGGGTGAACTCCAGGAGAACCAGGGCGACCCGCGGACCGCCGCGAGGCCCGGGAGCCCCGCGTCTGCGCGGCCCCGCCGGCGGGTTCCGAGCGCCTTCTTCCCCCTCCTTCCTTCCTTCCCCCGCCGCTCCACAGACCCCGCGGCTACTTAGCCGCCGCCAGTTCCAACCCCGCCTCAGGCCCCTCACGACGCCGGGGCTTCTGCCGCCGCCAGCCCCGTCGCCTGCCCCGCCCCGTCGGGACGCTCTCCTCGCTCCTCCTGCTCCCGGGAGCACCCGAGTCCCCAACCCACGGCTGCACCGCGTTACCTGGACCCGCTTCTTGTGTCGCCTGCGTTCCGCCATGTTGGCCGCTCCGCCCGGTTCTTTCTGACGTGGAGTGGGGAAGGGGAAGCGCGCAGGAAGTCTCGCGAGAGCGCGGTTCGTGGCCCGTTATGTAACACGCCGCGGGGCGCCCGGCTAGGGAAGGCCAGCGCTGGCTCTGTCTGTTCCGTCCGTCCTCCCTTGGGGGTTGGACGCTACGGGGCCGGGGGGAGGCGGAGGAGTGGGTCACTGGACGGCCGGCTGGGGAGACGCTCGGCTCCCTAACTGACTGGACGTCCGGGCACCCGGCAGCCTGTAAATACGGATTCCCGGGTCCCGCCCCTCCGAGTCAGCCGCGGCGGGGCGAGGCCTGGAGGACCCAGAAGGCCTCATCACCTGTTCGGTGATGTCCCCAGCAAGCCGGCTCACCCCGCTTCAGAGTCGGGCATTTTCTAAAAGATGAGAAAACGGATGCAAACGCACTCATCCCGCAGAGCTGGGGAACCTCAGTCAAGGGTCCTCTCTCAATGTGAACTTGCACGCTCATGAACAAAAATCTGGAATGTCCGTCCCATTTTCCGAGTGGCTCCTCAGAGCGCAATTCTTAAGGTCCCAAATCAGAAGGAGCCCAGGGAGGTTAAAAGAAGGAAAAGAGAAGATTGTGAGAAGTTGGGATGAAGAAGACCGCAGGCCACTTCTAGACTAGCCAGTTAGAACTATTATAACTCGTTATTTTAGAGCCTCCTAGGCCTAAAAGAAGGCAGATTGGTATTAAAGTTCGTAGATAGAAATTCCTATGACTTAATGGAAATTTGTAGACATTACAGTTGTAGAAAACCGGGAAAATACCCCAAACTAAAGACAGCTTAATTCTCTCACTCAGATCTGTTAATCATTTAAATTTTTTGTCATTTATTCCCACTTGGTATGCATATTAGATGTGTGCATATTGTATTTACCCTTTTCCCAAGCATACAATAGGGTAGACTGCATATTTATTATTTATTTATTTATTTATTGGCTTTTTGAGACAGGCTCTCCCTGTAGCCCAGCTGGTCTGGAATTTACTGTAGACCAGGCTGGCTTCCATCTCAAGATCTTGGCCCGCCTGTTCCCTGAGTGCTCGGATTAACCTCCACGCTCCACAGCTTTTTCACTATTAGATTGAAAACACATTTTATTTCAAAATCCCTGTTTTCCTATTTCATATGTCTCATGTAATAGTACTTGGATATATAATAAAGGCAAATTGCAACATCTTAATGCCTCATCTTTTTGTAAAGTAAAATAGCTAAAGGCTCTTTTTTTTTGGAATATGCAATTCTACTTTCAAGGGAGCCATTGCTTTTCCTTCCCCTCTATGAGCTGTAATTTGAGGTGTGTAGTTAGGAAGTAGGAGAGAACTAATGGTTCTTACCAATTAACCCAAAATATAATATGGAATATAAAATATCTTTATTTTCCCTAGTCCTTCCTACCCAGGACCGATGATGACAAATCTTTTCTGTGCTGTTTTACTTGGAAGACACTGGACTATTTTCATAGGACAGTTGACCTATAAATGAAAATACCATTTCATTTAGTAGACGTTAAGTACTTACCAGATGCAGAAGGTTAGACTAGTGCTATCATAACGAATAAAGGTCTTTGGTTAGGGTTCTCTGCTAGGGAACAGAACTGACTGCTAGATGAATATATATTAAAAGGGAATTTATTAGATTGGTTCACGTGGTATGCTCTGGGTAGATCAACAATGGCTGTCTTTCACTGGAGAGGCCAAGGACCTAGTAGCTGCTCAGTCTAGTAGCTCAGCAGTCCCAGTCTGGTGCTGAAGGCTTAGAGGATTCCTGAAGATGTGTTGGTATGCAGTCCATGTTGGAAGTTGGAAGAAGCTGAGTTCTGATATCAGTGAAGGAATGCAGAGGCAGCAGCAGGGCAGATGAGCTTGCTGAGAAGACTGAAGGTCAGCAGGGAAAGCAAAAGCTTCCTTCTACCATCTTTTATCTGGGCTGCCACCAGAAGGTGCCACCCACATTTACTGTGAGTCTTCCCACTTCAAATAGCCTGATAAGACAGTTCTTCACTGATGTGCTCAATGGCTTGCCTTTTAGCTGATTCCAGATCCAGTCAGGTTGACAACAAAGACTGACCATCACAGGTTCCCTCTCAGCTACTGATTCTCCACCTTCTTCAGAAGGCGATGCTACTTCAGCTTACTGCCTCATGTTCTCCTTGCCATTCACTCCGTAGATCACAGCAGTTTGGTGCCCCCATCCCTAATATTTAATTTCTGAAGTCCAATACCTTTTCAGCTAGCATCTTACTTAGTATTTGACAATAATGATTTTTCACTTCTTATTCTCCACCTTGACATTTATGATACAGTATGTTGTTAATCCATTTCCCCCTTTTTTGTAACAATGTTTGTTCAAGGACTTCTGCAACAGTATGCTGTCTTTGAAAAGTGATATCTAAATTTCAGTTGTGCTAATCGGTTTCTTATTTTTAAAAAAAGCATTTAAAGAATCAATTTAAAGGAACTCTATAAAGAATATAAGTATCATATAGCTAGGACAAAATCTGTGAAAGCAAAAGTACAAGAAGTTACATGACAAAAGTTAGAATTGAATACTCATCTTTATGGAAGGTCTGGAGAAAAAGCTGCCTAGCAGGAACCTCCACACCTCCCCTATCTATACCCATCTCCTCTTACAAAACATCCTCTATTGTTTGGTTTTAAAATGCCATGTCTGCATTTATTTTAACCAGATACCTCCTAAGAGGATGTTGGGGAGTAGGGAAGCTCCACAGAGACCTCAGTCTTAGGTATCTTGCCTTCCTTCCTTCCCAGCTCTTTGTGCTATAAGGCAGACACGCTGAGCGTTGTGTGCCAAGATGGCTTTGGAATTACCCAAAATCCAAAGTGCTCCAAAATCTCAAAAAAATTTTGAACATAACGCTACAAATAGAAAAGTCCATACTGGGTAAGTGATGAGTAGTAGTAAAAATATAGACACATTAAAAATATTGTGTAAAATTAACTTTTAGTGGCTGGGTGTAGTGGCACATACCTTTAATCCCAGTACTCAGGAGGCAGAGACAGGCAGATCTCTCTGAGTTTGCAGCCAGCCTGGTCTTTATAGGGAGTTCTAGACTAGGTGGGCTGCAGGGAGACCCTGCCTCAAAAAGACAGAAAAGCAAAACAAAACAAAAACAAAAGCCACCAAAACTAACTTTTAGTTATGTGTACAAGATGTATTTGAAACCAATATATCTTGTTTCATATATACACAAAGATTCAATTTTCACATAAAAACCCAAAATTTGAGACACTACTGGTCATAACCATTTTGGCTAAGGATTACTCAGCCTACAGATCCTCCTGACTTCCTCGTGGCTCCTCTGTCTTCTTTGACCATTCTGGAGAATCTCAGCCATACTTTTAGTTTAATCCCTAAATCTGCATACGTATGAATTTCCAGATTTCTACTAAATATCTGCACTGGTTATTGAGCTAGAAATCACCCAGCAAAACCTTCACCCTTTACTCTATCTTTTTAACTCTGCTACAAACATCCTTATTCACTCAGTCATGATAGAAAAACCTTGGGAGCATCCCAACCATGCCTTTCTGCCAATCATCCCCCAGTCCTATTTGATTGTGCAACTGAGATGTTTGGGATTATTTTCTTATCATGGTCTTCATCAGGTCTTTGTTATCCATATGAGTAATTACTGTGACAGCTTCCTGACTGTCCTCAATGCTGCCCTCTCTGCGCTCCAGACCATCTTTTATACTCTTGTTTAAATCTCTCTCATGACTCTACCTTGTATACAGCTAATGAATGATGGCCAGTCTTTGGACATATAACCTAAGTTAAATTTCTGGGTTCTTCCTTTCATTTAGTAATTCTATAAAATAGCTCAATCCTGTTTATGCTATTGAAGATAGTAGTGGGGACTTCTTGTGGCCATTTCTTGCCATGAATTTGCAGCTTTATTCCTGTTGTTTGGTTGCGATTTCTCTCCTAAATGGGACCTACCTTTTTAAGTCCCCCCCCCCAAACAAAACTATTGCTGGTTTTTGGGGAAAAGAGGAAAGTTGCATTTATTTGGCGTTCACTGAGGGATTAGTGTCAGTGTTTGTTCTCAACACTTAAGGATATACTAGTGATTCAAAGGCAAAGGTTCCTCCTGCCTTCATGGAACCTGTGTTTTAGGGAGACAAATACAGGAGGCAAGTATAGTTTCTTAAAAGCCTTAGGAGAGAAACACAACAGCATAAAGGGAACTGTTTACAGTTGGAATGAGATTACAGTTTAACTGAAATAGAGCAGTCCTCTTTGAGGGGATATTTGACCAGAATAAGGCATGAAAGGGAGGATTAGCTCAGTGGGTATTTAAGGGAACTATGATTCAGATGGAGTTATGGAGCTGTACTTCAGATGATCCAGAAGTGGGAAAGCCAGGTTGTATTTGAGCAATAGTAAGGAGGTAGGTGCAGAAGTAGAGTCAAAAGAGGGAGGGAGTCAGGGGTAAGGCCAAAGGAGGTGGAGGTGGAGTGCTAATTTTATAAACAATAGTAAAGACTCTGGGTTTTACTCTGAGTGAAATGGGGCTATCAGTGGGTTTGTCAGGGTGGATTGGGGTGGAGGAGTCACATGATAATGGCCTATGTTTTAAAAGATTTTGATTTTGTTGGGAATGGACTTGGGAGGAGATGCAAGTAGAGGGGAAGGAGCTTCAGTTTAATAGGTTATTGTACCAAACACAAGGGGTGATGGGGGCTTTGAGTTGAGTAGTTGCTGTACGGGTGTTGGTCTCCTCCCCGCTGGGGCCTCGCTGTTGCTGGGGAGCCATTACGCACTGGTCCCAGTCTTGGAGGGTCAGACGAGGGAGAAGCTGGTCGGGGAGAAGAAGGTCTTGGGTGGCAGTGAGTATGATGGGAAGAAACACCTGGGAGACTGTGTCAGCAGACAGCTCGGCGAGCTCGTTGTAATATGGTGAAGAAGTTTTTATAGGGAAGTTTTTGGGGCAAAGAGGTGGGTTTGGGTTTTTGGAAGGCAGGCAGGTAGGAGGAGGGAGGGGATTTCCAAAGCTAAGTGGCATCTGCTCATGGTAGTTTCTGTCATGTTGTCCAGTCACACAATTTACAAGGAAC